AATGATTTACCTTAGTGACTTTTCTGTTGCTGAATTGCATTTGCTAAATCTTCAATTGCAGGGTTGTATTTTGTGCACTTCAGGGCCAAGCAAGCACTACTACAGTGATGGCTAAAGACAGAAATGCAGATTTTAGTATTAATTGCACTTACAGGACAGCCACCCGATGCTGCTTATCGTGAGCACTGTGTCTGGTTGTTGTGGTGCAGTCCTCCTGCGATGTTTATAACGGACTGGGCTGGGGTAATCACACAGGGCTGTGAAACTCGTCTCCCTGGTCTCAGGGCTGCAGGTGCAGGATGTGGGGATCGGAAGGCCACCTTACAGGGCTGTGAACCTCATGGATCTCCTTTCCTCCTGTAGCGTTCCTGAGGTAATGAAACTGACAAACCTCAGTTTATGGCAGTTAAAACTGGTTCTCTGCTGCAAAGATCTCGCGGCAGCAGTGACACCACACCTCCACGCAACAAGCAGGGAGCAGGGATTGGAGCAGAGCACAGGCAGCCTCTAAATGTGCAGGTTTTCCCCACACCAACAGGCGTGTCAGTCAAAGTGCCTCGGCCTGTCACGAGTGACACGCGTGTCATAGGTTGGCCATCACTGGTCTAGAGAACCTCCTAAATTGTTTATGAAGTTGGAAATAGATTACATGCTCTTCACTAAACAGATTCTATGGGTAATTTCATTACCATCTTTCCTTCTCTTGCAGTCTTGTGGAAACATTTATAAAGGTCTTTCCCAGACGGGGGCATGGGGCTGTTTTGATGAGTTTAACAGGATCTCTGTTGAGGTTCTCTCAGTTGTGGCTGTACAGGTAGGTAAAACATATCTCCTAAATGCAATTTTAAAAAAAAGGGTAGCAGGACGGTTGAAAGACTCTGGTTCCATTTGACCATGTTGACCACAAATCTGGGTATAGGTTCCAATGTAAACGATCTTTTTAAATGATCCATTCTTTCCCTCAGCAGTGGTGTGCTCTTTTGGGTTAATACTCATATCATTCTCTGTGTGAGGTTTCTTAGTCATGCTGGCTGTATTTCCTCCCTGGTAGAAGTCAGTCTTGGAATTTACTGCTTTTGTTTGCCCGAAGAAAATTGTCACACATTTTCAAATATTCTATTCTTGGGAACCCATTTCTGGATTGCTGAAGTTTCCTGTTTTTTAATTAAGTGTCTATAGAAAAATTGTCAGATCTGGAGGATGAGGACAGCAATTGCACGTACTTCTTGAAATTTGTGAAATGGTCAAGAAATTTCTTCCACATTTTTAATCTTTTGAAATGAGGAGCTCAAGATGCAAAGAGTCATAGAACTTTATAATATGTGGCCAAAAATCTACTCAGAATTTCTCTTTAGTGATTAATGGATATAAATATTCAGTAATTATAACTATTAAGCAGCTTGACACAAAGTTGCCTATAATAATCTTGATAATATATAGCTCTACCATTTTTGAATTAGGAGTATCGTCTCAAAGTTATAATTAGAATTAATTTTCCTCAAGGACAACTATCTTGGTATTTTTATTCTAATAACTGTGAAATTATGAAAGGTTTTATGGGACTGTAGGTAATATTAAGGGTGAGAGAACTTGGTAAAAATATGCAAATGTTATCTGATTTTAGAATATTATTGCTTCCATCTAGTTTATTCTTCTTATTCAGAACTTGATTAAAAATGCGTAGAAATGAAAGGATCTGTCTTTTTCTTAAGGTTTTAATAACAGGAGGTATTCAAGAGATACCATCTCTAAACTATATCCTTCGCTACAAAATATGTTAAGGTTCAGGCACTGAATAGTTTAAGAAAACTTGTAGTTTCTATATGTTATGTTTGATGTTATGCTTTAATGATAGATACATAATTAAAAATGAAACTCAGGATTGAAGAATTCCTCAACTTTAATCATTCTTAGGTATTATTCAAGTTACAGTGTATTAAATGATTTTAAATGCAAACTTAATTTAAGTTCTTATCTATTTTGGGCAGATAATGGCCGACTCATGTCTGTCCCAGCATTAGCTTATAAGCAGGCAGCCCAATCAAGTAAAATCTATAGAACCATTATTTCTCTTTTTCTAAAAATTGATACGATTTGTTAAATCAGCTAAGCTTGTTAACAAACTATCTTCTCTTACTGTCAGGTGAAAAGCATACAGGATGCTATAAGAGACAAAAAACAGAACTTTAATTTCCTTGGAGAAGACATTAAATTAGTTCCTTCGGTCGGTATATTCATAACTATGAATCCAGGCTATGCAGGACGTACAGAACTGCCAGAGAATTTGAAGGCTCTCTTTAGGTGAGGCTAATGTTGTGAAATTTGTAGTTGTGGTTTATTAAAAGTATTTAGCTCATTCCTCACGGCAACAGTTGGAACTTAGTTCAGCGTAATTTAGTGTAGTGTAGTTTAATTGCTTTAATGGACAAAGACCAAAAACAAATGTAGCAGAAAACAGCAAAACACATTATAAATAGCCAAAATGCTTACAGAAAATGTTTTAAGGTTTCCAGAATTGCTAAACAATTGAGCATGTAATAGTGATGGCAATTGCTATAAATTTAGTGTTCTTCTGGAACTGTCTCGTGACCTGTCAGCTAAAAGGAGGACACTATTTCCTCAGAGTTCATATGAGTGGAGGTGTTATGAGACTGAGTTGACACATAGTATAGAGGGGGCAGCGTGGAAACACCAGAGTTATTGATTCTATTTCTTCAAGCGAGTAGGGGAATTTCTGTCCTGTGCAGAGATGTGTTAAATCTTCTCTCTGGCAGCAACGATGGTCATAAATCCCACCAGGCGCAAATAAAGAATGGACAGAGAATGCGCAAAGAGTATTTGCTAGTTATGGGACAGTGACCATCAAAGCATATCCATTTTGTACTGTTTTGGGGTTTTGCTTAGATTATCCTGGCTTGAGTTATTTGATGATTAAGAGATCCTACTGGTCAAATACAATCAAATATATGAGGACACTTTGTTCCAATCCTGACCAACCTCTTTCAAGATAAAGCAAAATTAGGCAACAGATTGATAACAACTGCACCCAAATGATTCTCTGATGTTGTTCTGCTTTGCCCTAAAGGAAAGCAGAATTCCCAGGATCCTTCCTTGACCTGTGCGATTCAAAACCTTTATAAATGACTTAAAAATGAAATGCAAAGAAGGCTTGCTAAATTTGCTGATAACACAGAAATTGAAGACAAAAATCAGACAAAAAAAATATCTCAGTGGGCTTGATCATTGTGTCATATCTGACAGCATGATGTTCACTGGTGACAGTTGTAAAAATCCTGTAACTGTTAAAAAAAAATCAAATGCACAGGGTCAGATTTGGGGGACCTTGCCTTGGAAACATGATATAGGAATCTTAGTGATTGTAAGCAAGTTGAATGTGAATAAATAAGGGAGCAGTGTGATTTAGCAATACGAAAAGGCCTATTCAGTCACCTCCCTCATAGAGGGATTCTGCTCAGTGCACAATAAAATATTAAAATATAAAAAACAGTATATAAAGGTTAAAAATGTAGAAAGAGGCAAGAATGTTAAAATTAGTTAAAAGCTGAATGGAGGGCTTTCAGAGCACTAACCAGCCCCTAAAAAGATAGTCGTTATATTATACCCAATGCTATTTAGATTGCCTCACTGCCTGCTACTGTATGTCCAATCACTAACCTTCAGAGGTGGCCCTATCATTTGGCTGGGGAAGTCCATAGAATTCTTATGGTTTTCCTTGGCCACCTGTCTCATGGAGAAACATTGGGATGGCCTGCCATACTGACAGCAAGGAGGCAACGATTGCAAATGAAGATAGGAAACCAGGTCCAACTCCTGTTTCTTTTTTAAAATCATACTGGAAACATTCACCCTGGAGGTCCTTGATGTTGTCACCTCCAACCAGTCATAGCAAATTGCTTCCACAGTGTCCAGTGATACAAATAACACCCCAAAACTCTACACAGTCCTCAGCCTTTTGCAACATATGCATATCTTCTATATACTTCTGTGGTCCACCATTGGCATACATTCCCCTCCAGCACTGTTATAAAAAAAAAGATGATCTGTAGTTCCCTTCCAACTTTCTTTGAAAGTTTTATGTGATAACATAGAACATAGTATCCACCTTTTCTAACCCTGAAGAAATTTTACTGTTATTTGAACTCTAGATATGCGAGACTGGATGAATAGTTTTAAATACTACTGCAGCAGGTCAGGGGAAGTATTGTTAATTTGTGAAGTCTTCAAGTTTACCTTGTTTAATATTTGAATGGAGAACAGAAATGAAGATAAAAGAGTACAATTCAAAGTTATAGAGCATTCTTTGTGTATTCTTTGCTCCAGGTTCTACTTCTTAAAGAGCATTATCCATAAGTGATGTGACAAAAGAAATATCCCTCAAATCCAGAAAACCTTCTCAGTAGATTAAATGAATAGGGTAAATGGACAAACATTTTGGTGTTGTATAAGGCACTTTCTCAGTGCATTTTGTGGGTTTTTTCCCCCTCTAGACCTTGTGCAATGGTTGTACCAGATTTTGAGCTGATCTGTGAAATTATGCTGGTGGCTGAAGGATTTATCGAAGCCCGGTTATTAGCTAGGAAGTTCATTACCCTTTATCAGTTATGCAAGGAACTTCTTTCCAAGCAGGTAAGTAGACTGAAATAATTATCTCATATCAGATGTAGACAATTTTTAGCTCTGAGAACAACTTCAGTGATATATTATGCATATATTTATTTTTCCAAGACTTTCTAGAATATAAAGTAGGAACAATTGTTCTCCTTGTTTTTATTCCTATCTAAATTGCTTTAATTTTCCAAATAATTAAGGTGTAGGGGATCTGGATTTTACTGTTTCTGGAATTAGGATCTTCCAGGCACAGTATTAATTTTCAACATTTCTTATCAAGTCCATTATATCAGTTGCCTCCAGATATCACTTCCTTAACCTTGATAGTTCCAGGCTGATTACAAGAAAGTTTGGGTTTCAGGTCCTTTCCACAGGAAATTGAGGATCAAGGCCAGAGTTTCTGCTTTTTTTGATAGCATGTGGAGATATGCAGAGATCTTTACTTTCAGGCATGGTATGTGTATGAGTTGAAATGAGCTATCCTCTTCTTTCTTTTCTCCTCCTTATTAGGATCATTATGACTGGGGATTACGTGCAATCAAATCAGTCTTGGTTGTAGCCGGGTCCCTCAAGAGAGGAGACCCTGATCGTCCTGAAGATCAGGTTCTGATGCGCTCCCTTCGGGACTTTAACATTCCAAAGATTGTGACAGATGACATGCCAGTCTTCATGGGTCTGATTGGAGACCTGTTTCCTGCTTTGGATGTCCCAAGAAAACGAGACCTCAATTTTGAATCCTTTGTAAAACAAGCTGTGCTGGAACTCAAACTTCAACCGGAGGACAACTTTGTACTCAAAGTAAGATGGCGACTTTCATTTATTCAGCCTTCAGACTGTAGCTAAAATGCTTTCATTTTCTTACTTTTTTTTAGATAGGAGTTTCTTTTGTCTACTTTAAAAGGGAATATATGTATGTATGTATGTATGTATGTATGTATGTATGTATGTATGTATGTATGTATATTTGTAAGTATGTATGTATATGTATAAAGAGGGACGCAGTGGCTCAGTGGCTAAGACGCTGAGCTTGTCAATCAGAAAGGGTTGGCAGTTCAGTGATTCGAATCCCTAGAGGCCACGTAATAGAGTGAGCTCCTGTTATTTGTCCTAGCTTCTGCTAACCTCGCAGTTCGAAAGCATGTAAAAATGCAAGTAGAAAAATAGGGACCACTTTAGTGGGAAGGTAACAGCATTCCGTGCACCTTCAGGTTTAGTCACATGGCCACATGACCATGGAGATGTCTTCGGACAATGCTGGCTCTTCAGTTTTGTAACGGAGATGAGCACTGCCCCCTAGAGCCAGAAATGACTAGCATGTATGTGCAAGGGGAACCTTTACCTTTACCTGTGAATGTATATACCGTATTTGCCGGCGTATAAGACGACTGGGTGTATAAGACGACCCCCCAACATTTCCACTCAAAATATAGAGTTTGTTATATACTCGCCGTATAAGACTACCCCCTCTTCTACACACCTTCCACTTTTGCACTTTTTTTTTTTTTGACGCACTTTTCTGCTTTGGACAATTTTGAAATGAGCTAATCCAATTTTGAACCAAGAATATGCAAATAGCTATGGAGTTTAGAAATGAGTTTTAAAAATATTTTTCATTGCTTACCATTAAGCGTAAAATATGTTGTAAATAAAATGAGAACACAGGAAACGTTCTCTTCTCAATACAGCTGATCTCTCTCTCTCTCTCTCTCTCTCTCTCTCTCTCTCACACACACACACCAAAAACCCGGACACTGAAAAGGCTGCCAAGGAACAGTATATTCAATGCCTTCTCTTTAATCAAGAAACAAGGAATTCCTTAGAATCTTTTTTTTCCCCAAGTGGCCCTCTTTAAAAAAAAAAATGGAGGTAACACTTTCATTCAAAAAGTCTTCCAGTATCTGGAGTCGCTCAGACATATTGAAGTGAGGCAGGAGAGTAAGTGAAATTTGAAATGATCCAGCTACTGTTTTCTTCCCCTCCCGCCCGAAGGCCATTATCTCCACGTCAAAACGAACGAGGGGAGGCAAAGAAGCCAAACACGCTAAAAAGGATCTCTTTATTTTCCTACACAAGGTCACACCTACTTTTCCGCATTCAAAGGACAACCTCTCCTCACCACCACCACACACACCCCAATACCCGCAAACAATGTTCTGGGCATTAATCACCATTGCTACATTAACCTGGTAAATTTATACCCTGCCTCCCCCAGTGTTGCTTTGACGGCAGGATTTCACACAGCGGGGCGCTCGCTCGGTCTCTTCTCCGCTCTCCCACCGTTCGCACATAAAACCTGATAACCCACCCGGGGGCTCCCCCATCCTTAACCTACAGCCGCCCGCATGCAAAACCTGCGTGCAAAAAGAAAAAAAGAAAAAGAAAAGTACGCCGCACGTGAGGATCTTCGAATCCTCTCCTCCCCACACCGCTAAGGAAGGAAGAGGGGGAAAGGTTGCGCAGCGCGTGGTGAGTGACACCCGCCACACACACACGCACGCACGCACGCACACACACACACACACACCGCTCCCCCCCCCAGCCTCCCTCCCGGCTGCAACTCAAGCTCGAAGTGGGAGTCGGAGTCCTCCCGGCGTATAAGACGACCCCCCCACTTGGAGGCATGTTTTTCAGGGCAAAAAAGTCGTCTTATACGCCGGCAAATACGGTAATGTATCCATTTAATTACTAATCACTGGTGTAGTATTTTGCATTGACAGTTCTTCAGATTTTTCACTCTTTACCCCATAGTGTTTTATTATTATTTCTTTATTTATGAACATTAGGGAAGAATTGAAAGCAAACTGTAAACCTTTTCTAGAATTCTGTAATGCAAACATGTTAAAATATTTATTTATTTGAATCCCACCTTTATTACAAACAACTTAAAGAGGCCATCATATCTAATACTTGTTCCTCCTCCTATTTTCCCCACAATAGCAACCCTGTGAAGTGGGTTGGGCTGACAGAAAATAACGCGTCCAACATCACCCAGCTGTCTTTCATGGCTAAGGCAGGATTTAAATTCATGGTCTCCCAGTTTTATTCCTCAAAAAGGTTATTGTAGGTCTGCTAAATATTGGAAAATAGCAACCAGAATGATTGAACGCCCTCACAAGGAATTGTTTCAATGCTTTGTACCACTTAGCATAGTAAAAGAAAATAAAAGGGGATATGAAAATGATAAAAAAAATGAAACACGAAGACATATCAGCATTCTAGATCTTTGGCTCATCATATAAAGTTTAAGCACTGAGAGATTCAGGGCAAAGAAAATGATGTTCTTTATGCAGCAGAGTTAACTTTTAGACTTTTCTAACATCAACTTAGTAAACCTTTAAAGCAAATTAGACACATTCATGGAGAATAAGTAAAATGCTAATGATTCGCCACCAAATAGTGGACTTGTCCCCCCCCCCCCCCCGTGTTCTGGCATGGTTTTTCTTACTGTATTTTTGTTTTATCCTGTTCTGCTTGCGTCTGTTAACCAGTTGTGGAACTCAGCTGTTCAGTTTATTTTGAAGTGTATACATAGCAATTGTCTGCATAGCAAGTAATAAGTATGAGCACAATCTACAATAGACAATAGACGCAATCTACATAGACTTCTGTAAAGCCTTGGATTCAGTGGTACACAACAAATTACTCCTAAAACTAAAATCTTATTGTATCTCTGGACAACTGCATAACTGGATAGAAGCATTCCTGTCAAACAGACAACAAATGGTCAAAATTGGAAACGTCCTATCAAATTCTGTACCTGTCAACAGTGGTGTCCCCCAAGGCAGTGTTTTAGGACCAACTCTCTTCATACTTTACATAAATGACCTCTGTGATCATATTAAGAGCAACTACGTTCTCTTCGCTGATGATGTAAAGCTATTCAACACCACAGACAATACTGCTACCCTTCAAAAAGACCTCAACTATGTATCAGAATGGTCAAACAAATGGCAACTTCAAATCTCAACAAATAAATGCTCTGTCTTACATATTGGCAAAAAAATAATAATCAGAAAATAAAATATAGGCTGAATAGTCAAGACCTTGTTGATGATCCAAACTCTGTCAAGGATCTTGGAATACTCATCTCTAATGATCTAAGTGCTAGAGCCCACTGTAACTACATAGCCAAAAAGGCATTAAGAGTTGTTAACCCAATCCTGCATAGCTTTTTCTCTGGTAATATTACACTACTAACTAGAGCATACAAAACTTTTGCTAGACCAATACTCGAATACAGCTCATCAGTCTGGAACCCACATTACGTATCTGATATTAACACAGTTGAGAAAGTCCAGAAATATTTCACAAGAAGAGTTCTACTCGTTGCAGAATACCTTATGCCACCAGACTTGAAATTCTAGACTTAGAAAATCTAGAACTACGCCACCTTTGGTCCGATCTAAGTATAGTATATAAAATTATACATCGCATCAAACTTGATTGCAGGAAATACGACTTCAGCAACAGAGTGGTCAATGTCTGGAATACTCTACCTGACTCTGTGGTTTCTTCCCCAAACCCCAAAAACTTTAACCTTAGACTTTCTACTATTGACCTCATCCCTTTCCTAAGAGGTCTATAGGGGGTGTGCATAAGAGCACCAACATGCCTACCATCCCTGTCCTATTGTTTCTTCTATTTTTCTTATATGTATTCATGTATTCATAACTATGTTTTTACTTATACCTATTATCTTGTAAGTAATTGACAAACCAAATAAAATAAATAAAAAATAAATAAAACAATGTGGTGTTTTTTTCTCATTGGCTTCTTACTCAAGGTAGTACAGCTTGAAGAGCTCCTTGCTGTTCGACACTCCGTCTTTGTAGTGGGCAACGCAGGCACAGGCAAGTCACAAGTGCTGAAATCTCTGAACAAAACTTATCATATCACGAAGCGGCGACCTGTTTGGACAGACCTCAATCCAAAAGCAGTGACGAACGATGAACTCTTTGGCATCATAAATCCATCTACAAGAGAATGGAAAGATGGTAAGATCGTGGCTATGCATTGACATCCAATAAAAGGGTTATATAATTTTTTTTATTAAACTTGCCAAATCACAAAAAACAGTTACAAAAATCTGACCTCTAAGTGTTTGCTTTGAGTTGCTCTGGAACAAAACAGCTTCAAGGTATGATTGAGAGACATCTAGGAAATAGTCCATATTATTAACTATGGCCATACAGAGAATATGCAGTTATATTATAAATGGTCTTTGTTGTGTTCAGATCTGTTGTGTCTGGAACAAACAATAAAAATACAGAAGCCTCCCAAGCATTCATAGAAGGTTTCCTCAAATCTTTTTCTAAGCAAAGGCTTCATTTTGGGAAAGTCAATATACTTTGTTCTAAAGATGCTTAAATAGTTTTGAGGACAGAATTTTATATATACATATTTCATGGATATCTTGATGCTAAGGTGTTTTTGCTGCCCTGAGTCTCTTGTTTGAAATGGGAGGCTATACAAACTGAATAAATGAATCAATATTTTGAAGTATGAGTATTTAAAATACATCTGCACCTAAAAAAAAATTTCAGAGAAATTCCCCATAGTGGAAAACAAAAATATTTTTTGTGCTAATAACATTCTGTAATTTTTCAGAGATATAAATGTGCGAACCTTTGACTGTATTTATGTTCTTTCTATGAAAATAATATTGAGTTGAAGAATTAGGGAGAATGAGTAAAGCAGTTGCAAAATCTTTTTCAAAACCATAGTTCTTCTTTTTTTACATTCCTTTTTTTTCTTAATAAGAGTGCCCAGGGTAGTTTTTTTATTGCTCTATCAGTCTCAGCTGTGTAAAGTGATGTGAGAATATTTTTCAATGAGATATTTATTATTTATTTGATAATAATTCTTCATTTCTTCTTGACTGCAATTCTATTCATATCCTGTTGTTTTTTTAATTACCAGATTTAATTAACTGCATCTAGTTTTCCTTTGCTCATTTGCATGCATGTTGATTAAAACTTTTGTGAGTTACTACTAAGAGTAGAAAGGATGCCTGTGATGTTTTTAGGATTGTTCTCATCGATTATGCGAGATTTAGCCAACATTACCCATGATGGTCCCAAATGGATTGTGTTGGATGGTGATATTGATCCAATGTGGATTGAATCTCTCAATACTGTCATGGATGACAATAAGGTAAAAGACAAGTTCAAAGGTAATGAATATTTTTAAATGTAGGATATAGAACAGCTGTGGATAATGTTTATGGCAGTTTTAGTTACAACAAATTAAACCAGAAAATGTTTAATTGAGTTTTCAAAAATCTACCTTGAGTTTTCAGAATAATATTTTCAAATAATATTAAGTACCCCTTTCCTTTGGGCAGTGCTTCTGAAAATCACACCTACTCTTTCTGTGAGTCTTGTAAAGAACAGATTGCAAGACTTCTGTCATTTACTACTAGAGCAATTGAAGTGTTGTCAATAGGATTTCTACAGGGAATGTGCAATGTGGGCAAGGTATTCAATTCTCTAAGCAAGGCTGCCACTTTTTACTCTTTTCAACTCCCTCTGCAGATGCCTCTGGTTAATGATCTATGTTGGGCTGCTTTTGAGAATTAGTACAGAATGTTGTTGCTGTTAAAATGTTGTGAGCTGTTAGGGTTTGATCATCCATTTATTCTGCCAGATATGTTCACCACCAGGCCATTTTCTGAATTAATTCAAGTTGCTCTTCAATACCTTTTAAACCACAATACATTTGAGAAAAATTGTAGGAGAGCTCCATTGAAGCTCAGCTGTATTGGCTCCTTAACATGTTTCATTGCTTTCTTAAGCCTATGTGTTGAGAACATTTTCTAGGGTGGGACTTCCCTGCTGAAGGATCAGATTATCTTCCATGGCCAATTCAAGACCATATTCCTTTATTTAAACTGATTTCATAATCACCTCATTTAATTTAACACTGTTTTGCCTTGTTGTCTTGCTGGTTCTTTTAATTTATGATGCTTTCAAATAATTATGATTTTATAGTTTATAAGACATTTTAGTTAGCCCTTTTTGGATAAATAATGTGACGTATGGGCCATGGTGACGCAGTGGTTAAAGTGCAGTACTGCAGGCTACTTCTGCTGACTGCTGGCTGCCTGCAATTTGGCAGTTCGAATCTCACCAGGCTCAAGGTTGACTCAGCCTTCCATTCTTCCGAGGTGGGTAAAATGAGGATCCAAATTGTTGGGAGCAATATGCTGACTCTGTAAAACTGCTTAGAGAGGGCTGTGAAGCACTGTGAAGCAGTATATAAGTCTAAGTGCTATTGCTATACATTTTATACTCTTTTTTTTCCAAGGGGTTGCTGTGGGCCACATTTTGCTTTGAATTTCCCATCTGGATGCCTTCTTTTTTCAGGTATTAACACTAGCAAGCAATGAACGGATCCCGCTCAACCCCACCATGAGGCTTCTGTTTGAGATCAGTCACCTGCGGACTGCCACTCCAGCCACTGTGTCCAGAGCAGGTAGTTGACAGAGGAGAGAAAGAAGGCAGCTTTATCCTTAGCATGGCAACATATGGAAGGAATCAGGCTTAACTTTGGGAAATCTAGTGACCATCTGAGATGTTGGGAGATATAATTGCCATAATCTTACAGAGGGACTGGCTATGCTAAGCATCAATCACTGCCGTGAGATAGATGTATCTATGCTGTTCAGACAAACAAACAAAGCAAACACACATACGTATTAAACTCCATTGTTAGTCATCTGATAAAGGAAGGCTAGGCTAAAGAATATTTTTTTTTTTATTCTTTGCATTTAGAGAAATTTGAGCCCAGAGGCAATTAGAGGTTAAATCTGGATATAGAGGATTGTCTTAAAACCTTAAGAATGTAATGTTTAAGAACATGATGCCTTTTATCCAAGCTTATTACAGTTAACAACAACAATAGACAGGTCCATGTGATTGCCAACTCTGATTTGTTTAGTTTTTGGTATATGTACTTGTCAGGATATCTACAGGGAGGTGATGCATGTAGAAAAAAAAGTGGGGTGGATTGTGTGATTGTAATGCTATCTTGATCTTTCTGACTCCTCCCAACTGACTTCCAGCACTTGTTCTGGGCTCTTTTTGTTATCACAGATAAAATGCTACAAGTTCTGCCTATCTAGGACACTTCCGGTTGCAAGGCTTTGGCGGCGGCAGGAATCCGCGTTGCTGCAGGTCCCTGCTGCGCTCTCCGCTGAAGTACCCCCGATCCAATTGGATTTGGGGGTTGTCGCTACCCCGGAGGGGTAGCGGAAGATAGAGGAGATCCGGATTGGGGTCTGGGGGTATCGCAACCCCCCTCCCCAGCTGGCTAGACTCCTTTTTTTGGAGGCGGTGGAGCGGCGGTCAGTAATGGCCGCTACAAAGAAATCTTCAACCGGGCAAGGCTGTGCAGGAGGAAGTGTTGAAAAGTGAAAGTTTTCTTGGCTGAACCGGGACACTAAGACACTCAAATATCCTGGAACTCTGATTTTTTGAAAGATACTTTGTTTCCAAAGGAGTTTCTCAAAGCGGCGAATGGAAGTGCTGAAAGGGAAAGTTCACTCTCCTTCCTTACGGAGATAGCAAATGGACATCGAAAAACCTGCTTTTGCACAGAAGGTAAAAATTGAAAGCTCTTTGTTACAAGTGGGAAGGGAGAGGACAAAAAAAAATCTATATTAAGACTTTGTTGGAGGAGACGCCTTGAAGATTATAAGATCAGAAATTGTAATAAGGCTTCAAAATACAGTTTGGGACTTTGTAACTGATATTGCCCCAGGAGGAGAAAGTGTAAAAGGAAGAACTCTGTGTTTGTTTGGATTGCTTGATGACTTTTGGACTTTTGGAAACTGCTCTAAGTTTAAAAACATCTTGGTTGTCTTAAAAAAAGAAAAAAGAAGAAAAAGGAAAAGTTTTACAATGGCATTATCTGTGGATGATTTAAAAAGGGAATATGAAAAAATAAAGGAAGAAGAACAAGAAAGTGAGGGCTTAGTGGGAGCTGTTTGTCACTTTTTAGAAATGGCGATTTCTACTTACCAGCAACTACAACAGCAGGAGGACTGGGAGGAAGAAGAAGAAGAAGAAGCCATCTTTAATGGACAAAAAATTTCAATTAAGAAAGAAAAGAGGAAGAGGGGAAGGAAAATGAAGAATTTAAGACTTAAAAAACAACAACCAAGAAAGAGAAAAATAAGGTGCAAAATTGATACAATGCCAGAAAGCAACAGAAAAGAGGAGTACAACAGAGAGGGGAAGTTAAAAAGGCGGAGGTTAGGAGATGGAGGGGTAAAAAGGCCAGATCGGATAAGAAAGGAAGGGAAAAGAGGAAAAAAAGCCACAAAGGTTTGAAACAAGATGGGAAAAAGCAATTTTTTTTCAGAGATAAAGGGTAAAGTACAATAAAAAAAAAAGATTCTGCAAAAGTATATGAGATAGTATTGTAGTATTTGTATTTGAAATAGAAAATTAGAGGTGTAAAATGTTTAGTTTTATAGAGTTTAATTGGCTATTGTGTCAATGTTATTATAAATTTATTATTTTATTTTTTTATTTTAAAATAAGACATTGTAGAATAAGAATGAAGCATACAAGACTGTTTTGTAGTATCTGTCTTTGAAATAGACTGGAAGATTTAATAAAATATTAAAATATTAAAATGCTCAAGTTTGATGATAGATTCTAAAGAGAATGTGTAAAATGGTTAAGATTTAATGACAGAGCTTATTACAAATTTATTATTTCTCTTTTTATTCTCTTATTTTAAAATGTAGTATGGAAAATGTATTAAAAATCAGAATGGAAATTATATATTTAACTATTTTATAGATTTATTATTATTATTATTATTATTATTATTATTATTATTATTATTATTATTATTATTATTATTATCATCATCATTTTTTTTACTTTAAAATTTAGTATTTAGAATGTACTAAGCAGAATCAGAATGGAAATTATGTATTGTTTTAAATGTCAAATATAGGGGAATGATAGAAAGGCGTCATACTTCAATTAGTGATTACAGGATAAATTTTTTGCTAAAGAGAAAGAGATAAATGGATAATTGGGGAAAAACGGACAAAAGATACAAGTATAATGATTCGAATTAAGATGAAATAAACTAAATAGAATTAAGAGAGTGAAAAGTAGGGGGAAGATAGTGAGAAAATATAGAATGGTAAATAAGATAAGTAATGGTATACAAGATGAGCATGAATTTGATTTAAGTCTGTACAAAAAGATGTAACCCGGGGTTAAGCCACTTTCCAAAAAGAAGTTTGATGTTTTTTGTGTTTTGTGTGTTTATGTCTGATTGAGATTTAATAAACCTTGGAGGAATGTTAGAAGGGAATCATTGTAAACAAGCCAGATGAAAATATAGGTATAATGAATAAAAATATATAAAATAGATAAATATAGAAAAGAAATATAATTGAAAAAAAGCAAAGGGAGAAATAATGAGAAATTTGTTAAAAGATATATATGTGTTTATATGGAAATGGGATAAATTAGAATTATGCTGTATAAAACAATGTTTTATTTGCTTTGTAAAAATTTACACAAAAAGGAGGTTTTATGTTTTAATGTTTGATGTTCTATGTTTTGTTTGTCCTTGAAAATTAATAAAATTTGTTTCAAAAAAAAAAAAAAAAGTTCTGCCTATCGAGTTTTGTCACAAATTGTAGCACTTATCTAAGTATCTGCACCCATACCAAGGGAGCCTTTGTATTAAAATGTATGCCTTTCAGATTTTCTTGGTTTAAAGCAAAACTGACCCCAAATGCGTTTTACCTAGTATCCAACTGTAGATTCCTACTTTAGTTTTAGAGCATAAATCCAGGTTCCCAAACAAGCCAATGCCAGTGCATAACCAGTCCCTCTGAAAGATTATGGCAATTACTGTACATTCCAATCCATCTGGTTTAAGCGAGTTAAGAGTTTGTCAATGTATTACATTATAGTCTCTTTGGCTTCTCATGTGGTAGTATCTGGATGATTTTGTCAAACAGGATCAAACCCAGTTAGTACTCAGATAGAAGTACTTACAAAATCTCAGGACTATATACAAGGTTGGAAAAAATATATCCTAGAAGTAGGCATTAACTACCCACTTCCATTTTTTTTTTGTTAGGGAAACAACATGGACACATCCATGAAATCACCAGGAGATAGCTTTAACTTTCAGGGGACTTTCTACAGTAACTTAGATGTGGAAATTCTAGGACTAACCCCACTATTTTACATCTCCAGGGATCCTTTATATCAACCCAGCTGATCTAGGCTGGAATCCTCCAGTAAGTAGCTGGATCGACAGAAGAGAAACTCAGTCAGAACGAGCTAACCTGACCATTTTGTTTGACAAGTATTTGCCAGTTTGTCTGGATACACTTCGAACCAGGTATGGTGCAACAGCATTAGGACAAAGTTGGCATAATTTGTTTACTGCGTTGCATTTACTATGAGTTTTTATTAAGTGATGATAAGAAGCACATATTTGCAAATGTCTCATAATATGTGGTTGGCCTTCATTAATTTTCTGCAGTTCATTTCTTGTTAGAATTCTGTGTTAACCTTATGGATTGGAGAGATTGTTCCATTCTTCTTGTAAAAAAATGGAATAGGGTGATCAGAGCTGAGCTGAAAAGAGGGAGGGAGGGGAGAGAGAGAGAGAGAGAGAGAGAGAGAGAGAGAGACTAGATGGCATACAAGAGTTTTCTATATCTATGCTCACCTTAAGACAGAAAAAGGCATTGCAACACTTATTTACAGAGTCTATTCATGTAATAGCATAATACCATGGGAATCCCATACAGTAGTGCACCTATTGTTTGTTTGAAGACTTATTCATAGGGGAGTGAGTAATCCTCAGGAATTTACAACTTGAGCTAACTTCTGAAGATGGAGTGACAGGGCTGGTAAATTATATTTTCCTGCCTGAGACAAAAGCATAAAAATGCCTCTCTTATTACTGTGATCGCAAATATGTGGGAGGATCTTCATGAAGTATGTATTTCTGTTTCACACTTAAAGCTGTTTTGTGAATTTCTGGTTTTGATGGCTACTTAGGCAGTTACTTTCTTTTATCTGTCTCCAATCCTTTCAACAGAACTGATCACACATTGGTGAGTGATCTATAACTAAAATTCTTAGTTTCTTTTAACAACTCTTTAGTGTCTCATAAAGTGATGAAGATGGCTGTCTCTCAGTCATCCCAAAGAGCTCCACTCCTGATGATGGAGAGGGAAGAAAGTTGAATGAGTTACACCCTCTACTGCACTCCATAGACATATGGTGTCATAGATACTTCCCCTGACTGTTGGATAAGACAAAGCTATATTAATCCCAAATGTATCACTACCTCCACAAGAAGAAATAATGAGCTTTGAATGAAAAGTGAACCTTTGTTTAACTCCTAAACAGATCAATTGTATATTTATGAGCCTGGAACCTGGCATATCAGGGATCCATGGGGAATTTAAAACTGTGAAAGCCCAAGTTATTAAAGTTGACAAAGGTTTGGGAACTTTGGAGAAAATTATTGTCAGTTTTCATGAAACCAAATTTAGCATTTTAGATGTAAAGGAACAATTTCATTGCACATCTGCAAATCCTTTGACTTAAAGTTCATGGACATCTGATAAGAAATAACTTAAAAATAAGAACTCTACCTCTGGATGTGGAGGAACAGTAGCTGTTATTCATTTACTTGAAAGAACATTTTCAGCAAATCTTATTGCCAGCTGACATTAAACTTGAAATACTGGTCGCTTACAGATGAAAAACAAGAGACAAGATCCCTAATGGACCTCAGGGTCATTAGCCCCTATAATTGTTAAATTTCTGAAGTGCAGCACCAGAGACCATCCTACCACTTAACAGATAAACCACTGAATTCAAATATCATGAATATTAAATAATGATTCTCCATATCTTCCTTCATAAATGTCAAATTTAAGAAGAGGCTTTGCTTTGGCACGTAATTAGCAAAGAACAAGAATGTGAAATACTTTTTTTGTAGCCAGCAATCATCTGCCTTTGTCCTGAAGAGATCAAAAGATTTAAAAAGCCATCTGCTGCTGGGGAATTTTTTAGAGGCTCTGCATTTGTCTGATAAGTAATAAGGTTGTCTTTTCTTTGTTTTCTTTCTTTCAAAACTTGTTACTACTATATGAATATAGAAGCTTCCATTTCTATGTCTTTATTACCAATGCAGGAGGAATGTGTATCTCTCTCCCTCTCTCCCCGCTTCCCCCCATGCTTGCAATACCCAAAGTCAAACGGAAGGTTTAAGATGGAAGCTTTTTTTCTTTTTAATTTTTAGTGATAGTCTAGTTGGGCAGGGTATCTTCTTTATTTTGATACTTTTTGTTTTATGTTTTTATTTGATCCATATTCATTACTTAAAGGTTCTCCTTTTATGTATGTGGTACTTATCAAACTTAATACAGTATGTCTGTAATGTTGGGACACTGACCTTGAGAAATATTTTATCTACATGGAGACATGGCACTTACAGTAATCATCTGAAATATAAATGGACTTAGATTTAAAAAAAACCAGACACATTTGTAAGAATCTGGAAAAATAGCAACAGATATAATTATATTATAAGAAATCCTGGATGAGCAGCTCTTCTTGAGATCTGGGAGCTGGACTGGTTAAACCTCTATTAGCAGGCATCTGATAAAAATTGTGGGATATCTATTAAGTTTAACAGTGATTCTAAAGTTGATGTGGAAGATGAGCATTTTGCAATGAAAGAGTCTTTATTTTTTATTATAAAGATAGCCAGTGGTATTTTTTTTATGACCCCACTAAGAACACTTCTGAAACAGTTCACTGATTTGTTTCAAAAATATATTTTGCAAACCATTGTCATTAAGTCTTTCTGGTGAATTCAGTCTAAATCGGGATCCTCAGCTAGACAGAAAAACTAGAAGTACTATAAGCATACATTACAGAATTTATGACATGCAACTCTTTTTTTTTTAAAAAAAATCCAACAATAGAAAATATACTAAAACTGTTCTAGACCAAATTATTTTTTTAAAAAATTCTCCTGCTTTAGAGTGTCAAGTTGGTGTGGGCTAATTCAGACATTTCCCACTGTGTTTAATTTTGATGTTTAAAAACTATGCACAACTCAATCCCAGATAATACCAGAGTACTTCCTTCATAAGAGATTCTTATTTGGTAGAATATATTAAGAATGACCTTGGGGTATTGTTGGGAAAAAAATACAGGTTCTACTAGTAAGTTAACCTTTTGGGACACATTTAAGACATAGATCTACTGCTTCAACAACAAAAAAAAGTAGATATTTTAATCTTGTAGTTAGAAAAAATAATTAAAAACCTTTTTTAAACGCTGAAAATGCCACAGATGAATTTTGTGCTCTACATATGGCTGCCCTTGAAAGAGTATCTGGAAGCTTATTTTGTTTGTGGGGTCCATTGGTGCACTCTAAGCTTGGTTGCTTTCTTGTAGTCATTTCATGACCAATAAGGTAACATCATCAGTGCTAGTATATTTATTTATTTATTTATTTATCATATTTTTAATCTTCCTTTATTATTGCCTTTATTAGTGTATATTACATTGATAATATACATCTAGTACACAGTGTAGCAGCATGGGCAGTTACGTGTAATCCTAGAGAAGAACATGTTGCGCCTCTGTTCCATGAGCTGCAATGGTTGCCAATTTACTTCTGGATCCAACTCAAGGTGCTGGTTTTAACCTTTAATGCCTTTCATGGAATGGGGCCAAGCTATCTGAGGAACTGCCTTTCCCTAGTTATATCAGCCTGCTCTACTAGATCTGGCAGAGAAGGTATGCTGCATATTTGATCAGCTACATTGGTGAGCTCCAGGAGACACATTTTCCCTATTGTGGTCCCTGCCTTATGGAACCTTCTTGCCCCTGAGATCAGATCAGATCATCCCTTGACATTTCAGAAGTCCCTCAAGACCTGGTTATGTTGTCATGCCTGGGGCTCCCAGAGAACCAGAGACATGCTTAGATGGCGCCTTTGTTGAGGTGGCCATTTATATCCTCTTTTTTCCTAAGGGTTTGTATATTTCTTTTTTATCCTATTTATTTCTTAATGCAGATTTTTGTTTTGTTTTTTTATATCTGTTCTTTTTAAATTTGTTGTTTCTATCCAATTGTGCACTACCCAGAGTCACTTTTGGTGAGACTACACACATTTCACAAACAAAAAAACAAACAAATCAATATTTTACTAACTGCAGAGTTATTGGCCCAAGCTACTAGGCATATTTTTAAAATTTTGAATCATAATCACATGAAAAGTAAAGTTGCGGAACAATCCAAATTTGAAGAAGTATGGAAGACACTCTCCAGGAATGTCCAGGCCAAAGAATGGATTGATACCTAAATCCTTTGATTTATAATTATTATTTTAAAGACTTAGAAAGATCTCAATCTGAATGATTTATCTGTTACATTTGTTTGGCAAAATATAGGATTACAATATGTGCCTCTTTTTTGGGTTCACATACTTGTAAGCATAACCAAAGCCTATTAAAAATATGAAATAAAAGGATCAGTTTCATTATACTTTTCATTTGACCACTTCTGAATTCACTGCGTTTGTGGTAGGTCAGACCTTTGCAAGACTTCCATTTCAATTCTTTTAAGAGGATCAACGTTTTAAAATGACTCAAATATATGATTACAGTTATTACTTGGCTATGTGCTGATGGTATTTTATTCCACTCTGTAGCAGTGGATAAGAAAGTTATAAACAATGAACATTTTAAAAATGTTAAGAGTTGAAAAGAGGATTTATGTGATATCTGCTTGCATTGTTCAATGTCAGACATGCTAAATCCAATTAAACTTCACAAGTGTTCAATTATCCTATTATAGATTTAAGAAGATTATTCCCATTCCTGAACAGAACATGGTTCAGATGTTGTGTTATCTTCTCGAATGCCTCCTCACCAAGGAGAATACCCCTCCAGATTGCCCTAAAGATCTCTATGAACTTTATTTTGTCTTTGCTGCTGTTTGGGCCTTTGGTGGTGCTCTGTTCCAAGACCAGGTAAGAAAAGTGATTCCATGAAAAATGACATTAATTAACATAGCTTCATATAGAAGAGAATATTTGTAGCTCAGGGTTAGACTGCAGGGTCCTTGGATCTTTCCGAGCTAGGTGCTCTCTGAATGCTGATGGTGTTACCTAGTTTGGTAATGAAGTGTCTGCAAGAAAATCACCAAGCTCAGAGACCACTAAATTCATATATTAGATTCATATATTAAACTGGGCACTCAGTGAATTGATTCACAGATCATTTTAGGTGATGATTGGCTACTATAAAACACAAACTCTCTGTTTACTTTTGGCATTTGGCTTAGTATGATGTATGAAGCTGTATCTCTTGATGAGAGCAGCTTTGCAAACCACTTAAACATATCCAGAGATTGTCCCAAAAGTCCAATTGCCTATTGAAAAAGCACTTTTAGGGAAACCATGACCTGGATGGCTGAGTATCTTCATAGACATAGCCAGAGATTCTTATGGAGAAACACAAAGCATTAAAATCTACCCATTGTAAGAATATTATTATAGAAGAAATATGCATAGTCATCTGGAGTCTAGTATTACTGAAACTCTCTTTGTGCCCTACACAGTCCTTCAAGAGGTTGTTTTTACTTTGTCCTAGCAAGGCATTCCAAGTCTTGACGACCATGTTCCTATCATGCACTTGGAACTGCTAAAAGCAATCTAACCAAAATATAACGGTGCTTTTGCCTTTGTTAAAGTCAATTAGAAGTGACTTTGAATGCCACATGTCATGGGTTTCACACAAGGAATTCTTAAAATATATAGGTGAGCTAGCTGGAATGAAAGTGACTATATTTTTCCTGTATTAGTACAGATCAAACACTTGACGCTATGAACAATGAACTACTATCCATTATTAGTTTAATTCTGCCTAGCTAATTTTTCAATAGAACTTACAAGTACATGTTCTATTTGTACAGTCCTTATTTGATAGCTAAAAAGACAGAAAACTGAAAGCAGAATTCAAGTATTGATTCTCAACAGTAGCTGATGAATGCTAGGTTTGTTTTATAGTGAACAATGAGCCTGGTTTCAGATGCAGCATACTAGGGGGCTGTATATAGTCCTGGGGGGAGAATTTTCTGCAAGCAAGTATTGTGGGAAAGTATCCCCATACAGAGAGGTCTATCATCTCTATGCACTTCACAAAGAGGGAGTAGGGATTTTCATAAGCCCTCTCTCAATGGCTGAATCATACGAGCAGATCCAATTTTTCAGTTCTCACTTTGGAGATTTTATATAATGTTGGATTAGTTGAAAATATTATTTATTGTATATATTTCTTCTTTTCTTCGAGTTCCCTATTAGAAAACCTGAAGCAATTCTTGAGTAGTGCCCAGCTGATCATGGATGATCTTAAAATAACCTAAACAGAATTGGATTTGGTTGATACTTGGATAGGCCCAGGGCTGTAGGTTAAATTGACCAAATATTGAGGAATATCCCAGAAAAACAAACTACTTCCATATAGTTGTCAAGAAAGTAATACATAACAGGCATTACATAAAAAAGGTTCAGATATTTCCAAGACTATTCTCTACAACTAAATTTCCAACTCTTTCCTCCCATCTGCCTGTTGGGGGAAAAATGAACTAAGCCATTTGCTCATTGTTTTAATTGAGATCCTTTGCCATCAGGGCATTCTTTGAGGGAAGGGAGGCAAAAGTCTTGCTCTCTTCCCTTCTGTTTTAATCCATGTGGGGGCACTGAAACTCTCCTTCACTGATTTTCTTTCATACAAGACAGCTCTTTTTTTTTTTTTCATGATGCTTCTATAACAAGAAGAAGAAGAAAAAAAAGGGGGGGGAGGAAGAAAGTCTCTATTTTCTGTATCTAAATTAGCCTTATTATTCAATTATTTATTTAATCCTGTTTTTCAGCTGTTATTTTGTCGTCAATTTATATTTCATATCATTATCATCCGGGGCATTTTTTTCAATTTTAGTACAAAACCTTGTCCTAATTGGTATGTCAGTTGCTCCAAAGTTTACTTGCTTGTTTCAAAGAATTTATTATAAGGAAGATGATTTAAAAAAAAATTGAAAGCGTTTTGGAGAAACTCTTAATGACTTAACTACCATTTTTATTCAATACCCAAGCTTTCGTAGCTCTCAATCCACTTGTTACGCTATATAAGATGAAGTCCTGACATACCCTTTTTTGGTGCATACTCAAAATTATAGCTGTGGGGAAGGAGAGAAAGTTGGGAGAAAGAGAGGGATAACTAGTGGAAAAAACCAGGGTTGTTTTAGAAAGAGAAAAATGAAATTTCAGAGTCTCATTGATAGTGACCTTCTTTATGAAATGGTGTAATAAAAACACCCTTGTTTTAAACATTGGAAAAACTAAAGAGATCATTATTGATTTCAGAAAAGGCAGGCACAGCCACACCCCTTTGTGTATTAATGATTCACCATAATGGAGATGGTTAGCAGGATCACATTTCTGGGTGTGCAGCTAACAAGTAGGCTGGTTTGGTCGTTCAATAACGAGACACTGATGAAGTGAGCACCAGTGAGTTGCATGAGAAAAGTGCATTTTCCTTCCCCTGTCCTTACCATTTCTATAGAGGGACAATGGAGAGCCCCCTGTCATATGGCATTCATTACAATCTGGTTTGGAAGCATTACTGCTTCAGACAGGGAGGCGGTTCAGAAAGTGGTGAGGATGTCTGAAAAGATTATTGGCAGTTCACTCCTTTCTATCCAGGACATGGCATATAAGTGTTGCTTGAGCAGGGTTTGCAGTATTGTCTGGGACACTACACATTCTCTTTGCGGCCTGTTTTCCTTGTTACCTTCTGGGTGGAGTCTTTGTGGTATCCGAAGCAGAACATCCAGTTTCAGTCACAGTTTTGTTCCATACAGTATCAACCTAGTCAACTCTCAATCTTCCACTTTCTGCTATGTATTCAAGATGGACAGTGATTAATATTTGTATGTATTTATATGTAAGGGTGTATGTATATACATATGTATGTATATAGCACGTCTATATGTGTGTTATGTATTTGTACACTTTTGAGAGCAGGCAACAGAATTTTATTTTTAATGTGTGCCAGTGTGCCCACAGTAAAAAATGACAATAAAGGTTATCTTGTCAGATTTTTGATGGAAAATCTTCAGCTGGTCTAGTGCTCCTTAAAGGCCAACAAGTTTATTAAAATGTTCCAGAACTGACTTTGTCTTTTTCTTCATATAGTTTTTCCTAGTTCCCCAATAGGTGTATTAATCTATTTGTTAAAGGCACTCCATGAATTTCTAAGCCATTTGAGAAATAAGAGGTAGTGTGGTTTCTTGCTATGGAAGTGAGCCTGTATACAGCCTTTGGACTGATGTTCTCCTTTCTTTTTAGATAGCAACAAGATGCTGCAATCTTATACTTTATATCTAAAGAAACCTCAATTTCCTGTTCTGTGTAGACTTAAAGAACTGCTTTTGTTTAATCTAATACTCAGAAGAAACCAGGATTGGAAATTATATTTTCATTCTGATTTCACTAAGGTCTGATACAAGGAAGAAATGTGATTTGCTTAAAAATGAACATAAACAGCTTACGGCACATTTCTGCACTTCTGCAAAAAGAGAGAAAGAGACATTTGAGGGTTCATTCATATGTCTGGTTAGATGTGGTGTTAAAGTACAGTTAAAAATAATTTCTGAAGGGCATTGCCCACTATATTGCCTCAGTCCTCCCCCCACGTTTTACAAATACACTTTCTTTTTTCTTCCACGTTCTACTTTTACCCAAGCGACAGGAAGAACACCAAAACAGTGGTATCCTCCCCGCCCCCCAGTTGCTGATGGATGTGTCGGATAGAAAGTAAGGGAATAAGGGATAAGGGAACATGAACAGAAGGCAGTCCCTGTAAAAATTCTCCCAATGGAGGCCCTTTCTCAGAGACCGGCCTATGGCAAAGAAGGATAAGTTCATCTTCCCTGGTACTGAGAAAATGCAGAGTAAAGATACAGGGAGTCAATCAGTCAGGAATTGTGCTAACCACTGCCTGACAGGACATCTGGTCAGCATCATTGACAAAACTGAAGCTTGGATTACAGTTTCTTCCTTTTCAACCAGAATAGAAGACAAATGGCTCTTTTCTGGTAGAATGAAGGTGCCAGACTTAGCCTATTCTTCTAATGCCTTTCCCCCATATAAATCTTCTTTCTATTGTAGTTACACAAACAAACAAACAAGAATAATAATCATTGTTCAGGCTGGATTTCCATTCTTGGGAACATTCAAAGTTCTTTAATTTGTGTGAAATCATAATGTCTGAACTAAGTTTGTCAGGAGCCTTTTCAGAAGAGATAGTCATTTGTTTTTGGAAAACTTACAGTGGAAATCCTAGTCCTTATCCTCTCACATGTAAATATGACGTATAACATCTATTTTGTATCTTAAACAGGTTACCTTCTTTGTTCTGGCAAAGGTTTACATTCTGAGAGTCCAGAGAAAGGAAACAATAAATTAGCCCTTAACACTGTGCACTTTTTTAATTGATTGATTGTTTGATTATGCCATCCAGATGTTTTCGACTTCTGGTGACCACATAGATAGAATATATCCTAACTTAGGATCCATATGGACTAGTGGTTGTGGATTTTGCAGATATTCGGTTGCTTAGTTTTGACATGCTTGCTTTGTCAATTTTATTTTCTCTGTTATTTTGCTAAAAATTGCTCTGACATTCCTATATGATTCTGCTCAGCTCTCTATTGTAACTAGTATCAAACTGTTAATTTGATAATGTTATGTTCATGGGTTTTATTCAAAGAATCACTATTATTTGGGAAAGGGGAGATTCTGTGCCTTACACAGAGGAACTCAGCAGACATAACGTTCTCTAGTTCACTCCCTGAGTGAAATGTCAAAGTAAGCAGTGCAGTAAATGTGAAACACTGAGAGATAAACCCCGTCTTACTTAATTTACTGAATAAATAATTAGAGTGGAATGGGGGGGGGGGGGGGAGTAA